GGGGAGCGAGGGCCCTCCGTCTGCAGTCGGAGTGACCGCGGGGCTGGGCCTGCCCTGGCCGCGCTCCCCAGGGGCCATGCCCGCCGCGGGAATTTGTATGCAAGCAACCTCTGTTCTCCCACAGGTTGATTGATTCTTTCCTGATGGATTCCGGCCTGTCCTGCGCCGCTCCGCAACTTCACCAAGGAATACATGAATTTTAAGTAAATATCTGCATGCAAGGGCTGGCGGCCACTCGGAGAAAGCCTATTGTGTCCTCTTGCAAGTATAGATTTTCCTGCTTCCCTGCAAGGCGGACGCCCCTTAACGTATCTGCTTTGTAAACCCAGACTCCATCCACACCTGGGGCGCGGCGGCCGCAGGCCCCCCAGGCCTCCTCGCGGGCAGGGCGGCGCCGGAAATTCATGGGGGCAGAACAGTCTAACAGCTGGACAGGCCTCCGAGGGCCGTCCTGCCACGAGACGGCCGGACATAGCTCAGGACAAGCCGGCCGCCGCACCGACCCCTCGTCCAGGCCCTGGCGCCCCAACATCTCAGTGGTGATGCTGCGTCCAGCCAGACAGCGAGGCCCCGCCCACCCCCAGGGCTCCCGGGCCCCGCCCACCCCCAGGACTCCCGGGCCCCGCCCACCCCCAGGGCTCCCGGGCCCTGCCCACCCCCCAGGGCTCCCGGGCCCCACCCACCCCCAGGGCTCCAGGGGCCCCAGCCTTGCGCTGGACGCGCCGCCAGGGACCCTGGCCCACCGGGACACAGCACGCGCCCTCCGCAAGGGCGGGGCAGGAGCTGGCCAGGCGCCCCAAGGCCCCCTGGGGTCCAGTGCGCACTGGTGCAGGGGAGCTTCTGTGCTTGGGGTGCGGTTCCCGAGCTAGGGCTCAGCGAGCAGGTTTGTCTCTGAGCAGGGACTCTGTCCCAAAAGTGGCCTCGCCCTCGAAGCCCGGAGGACGCCTGCGAACCGCCCCCCCACCGAGGGACACCCCCAGCCCGCGGTGTCCAAGGGGCTCCCGGCTCTCCAGGGCTGGCCGCAGGCCACCACCGTCCAGGGTGACCTGCTGGGCGGAGCGACCTCCCATGCTGATGTGGCCCCATGTGGGGAGAACGAACTTCCCGAAGCCCCGGGGCCCCCTAGAGCCGTGCCCTCAGGGAGCCAGCTTGGGGCTCCCACGGGGTTCGTGGGTGGGAAGCTGAGCGAGGGCCCCTGCTGCCGCCCGGTTGTATAGGCACCTGGTTTCCAGCCTTCGGGTGGCGACCGAGAGCCTCCGCCTGGCCTGAAGGGGCGGCGCACTCCATGCGCCCTCGGGGCGCCCCCACACAGCCCGTCTCCCCTCCGCACGGTGGCTGCCCCCGGTGATCGAGGCCCCAAGCCCGCAGAGAGCTGAGTGGACCATGGCGAGGCCGCCCGCTTGCTGCCCCAGACCCGCGCCCCGGCCGGGCTGCTCCCCGCCACCCCCCGGGCCACAGGGCAGTGCCCAGCAGGGTCCAGCGGCCCACCGAGTAGTGCCCCCGCCTGCCCAGAGCCCAGCGCTGAGCCTCCTGCGCCTCGCAGGCCGCCCCAAGTCCGAGGCTGCCGCCGCTGGTCAGAGGAGTCTGCGGCGGCAGCTCCCCGAGACCAGGTGCCTTCCGGAGAAGTGGGCGGCTCCCCCAGACGTGGCGGCTCCCTGAGAAGCGGGTGGCTCCCCGAGAAGCAGGCGGCTCCCCCAGATACCGCCTCCGAAGCCTGAGGCTGCCCACCACGAAGCCGGTCAGCAGCCAAGGTGACGCCGCAGGGGCCCCCAGCGCTCGCGGGGGCCACCCGGAGACCTGCCTGCGTGACAGATGGGCTGACGGCGCCCCCAGCCCCCCGTAATTAATAGCAGCTGAAGAACCTGATTGCTGCCCCGGCCCAGAAGTGGATAAACAAGCCTTGTTGCCAGGAAGGCGCCGGCGAATTCATCACCATTACCCGAGTGACTCGGCCGGCCGGTCCATCCATCACCGCTGGCCGCGGCCCTGGCCGCTGGTCCCGGGGAGTGGGCACGTCACCGCGGGCGGCCGCGGCCCCAGTGATGGATGGCCCCCGGCCACCGGTCTGGGCGCGAGGGCCCGGCGGCTGGCGCGGGTGGGGGCCTGCAGCTCGCGCAGGAGGGGCGCAGGGGGCAGGGCCAGGCCCCTTCCTTCAGGCCCCTGCCGTGCTGGGCACATGTGGGCCGATGGCGCCGGCCACAGTGGGGGAGCCGCAGGACCCCAGGACCCTGAGCAGCGGCTCGGGAGGAGGCGACCAGCAGGACCGACTCGAGGGGCCCAGGACTGGGGGGCGCGGGAGAGGCGAGGACGGAGGAGGGGCGTCGGCTGGCGGGCTCCCGCGCTGACACCAGCTTCCTCGCCCAGCCGGGGCCGCCGGCC